CCTCATCTTTAGAAGTTTTTAAGTCTGTAAAAAAGAAGTTGAGGAAGAAGAAGAAGTAGCATTTTATTTTTTTTAGACTTTAGAAACTCAGAAGCTGATCAAATATCGGGTTAAATATCCGATATCCGATATTCAGTTTTAAGGCCGATACCGATAGGGGGCCGATTATATCGTGCATCCCTAGTCCATGCTTTGGTATGGTTCATTCACTGCTCAGAATCAATGATGGATTTGTGAGTTGTTGTCAAGCTAATTGCCATCCCATCAAGTTACAAATCATCTGTCTCTAAACACCAACTCATTTCTTTGTGCATCTTGATTTCCTTGGTATTCACTTGCTGTTAAAGAAGCCATACTTACTTTACTTCCAGAGTGTTTAAAAAATATATATTTTAACTAGCTGTTGCAGTATTTAAATATCCAAACTTATTATCATCTTGAAGAATGATGATCTGCTGACATTAAATTCCAGGAGGAAACTGCAATTATGATTATAAATTGATGTTTCCACTTAGTACCAAGCATTACTCTGTGCCAGGTTGGCTGTAAAACTGCATCAGAAATCAATCAGTAGTGCTATGAGTGAACTTTCAGTGTTTATTGATATAAATGGAGCAGTAGATAAGTGAAGCAAGTGGTTTTTCATACAGCTTAGTACCCAAGACTCCCATTTAGATTAGTGATAAAGAATCCGAAAGTGTTTTGCTTCTAAATGAGCTCCCTAATGTTATTGTTAGAGACGGATTGAGGTATTTATCATAGCCTCATTTGTAATGCTGATTGATATATCTTTAAATATATAAGACAAGGTTCAGTTACATATATATGGGCCTACATGATCTATGTCTTTTTGGGGCTCACATACTTAGACTAAGACTAATTGACTTTACATAGCATGAAGCATGTGCTGTAAAATAGCCGTGTAAAAGTTAAAGGTCACTGATAAGATAATGCATGGGACTCTAATTTGCACTTATTTAACAATTTCCTTATGAAATTAAGCCTATTTACTGTTTATTAGGAACACAGGACATCTGTGTCTAATTGTTAGTAATACTGGAGCCTGCAGAAATGTCCATCATAGGCTGCTTTAAGTTATCTAATTAAAGGGTGATTGTTTCTGTCTCTTTCCAGGTAGCAATCAAATCGATCCGGAAGGAGAAGATAAAGGATGAGCAGGACATGGTGCACATCCGCAGAGAGATTGAAATCATGTCATCCCTCCGCCACCCACACATCATCTCTATATATGAAGGTGAGAGTCTGGAGAATGTCTGGAAAATATAAAAGGCTCTGTAAAAAATAATGTAAGACAGTTGTACATCCTGAATGCACATAGAAATCTAAAATGCATCCTTCCTCTAACACATGTAGCACTTGTGGCCAAGCTGCAGGACTGTCATTATTTTGACATGCATATGTCATAATAAGTCCCAGGCTACGGCTCTGGGATGTTATTCATCTCCTCTGTCTGGCTGCCTGGACCAGTAAAAGTCGGGAAGGTTTTTGGCAGTGTGTGTCTGGATGTCTTTTAACGGGTGTGTGTGTTGTGTGTGTGGGGGGGTGATATTCTAAGGGATCTCCTTTCCCACATCCAAGCAGTCTCATCCCTTGTCTTCTCTGGTCTTGATCTCAGAGCCAGACATCTGCTGATACTTAGAGACAACTGCAGCTGGAAGCCAGACTGTACTGTGTGTTTAGACATATGTGTGTCCCAATGTGATTGTGTCAATGCAAAAGGCTCTTTGATAACAGTGTGTGTGTGTGTATATAAATTCAGAATCACTAGATTGACCTCTGTGACCTAGCCCTGCTCCCTCTTTGACTCTAGTCCAGCTCAATGCAGTGGGAGGAAAATCCTTAAGTCTTCCCTGGAGCAACGGCAACCATAAGTCTACTTCAGGACGAAACTCTGTTAAATATCAAAGCCTTCACATCAGGCCTAGACAGCATGGATATTTATTTTTCTGAACTTCTGTTTTTGAGATGAGCCATTTTAAATTACCTTAACCCCAAAGAAGGAAAACAGAGATTAGAATGAAGGGTGACTGCACTGAACAAGTTAGTCTTTGTTTCTTAGATGATATGGCCCATATGTAGGTAGTTAAGGTTGCATGCTCAACATTTCCTGACATATGCCAGCGTATGCCATACGTGGGCCATAAATTACAGGTAAGTTATTTGATCATCGACATACGTTGAGTGCAAGCTGCTCATAAGTCATGGTGTCTAGCTTATCCAAAGCCTATGTAGCTTTTGCATAACTTATCATATGCTTAACTTATCAAGAACTTATCTCCAACGAATATCAACCTATTTGACGTGCTTCAGACGACTGCTGAACTCGTTTCTAACTTACAGCTGCTGTATAATACCGTATTGACAGCGTTTTGTTACAAAAGGGGCGTCACAGGAGGAAACCGTCTATTCTCCTACAAGGCAAGGCAAGGCAAGGCAAATTTATTTGTATAGCACAATTCAGTACAAAGACAATGCAAAGTGCTTTACATGATTAAATACA